TTATTGAACTGAATGTTGCAAAAAGTGAGCTGCAAGCATCACAAATACTTTAAAAGAAAATATGTAATCAACATTTTTATTTCTTTAAACTGAAAAACATAGAAATGAGAGAAACAAACAATACTAAATGTGAAATATAATGCAAGTACTAATAAAGCGATCAAAATGTGACAGGTTGTTCGACTGAATTCCTTTCAGCATGATTACTTCACTGCAAAAACAATCTAGAAATAAGTAAAGATTACTTAAATTAAGTGTATTTACCCTTAATTTGAGGAGGTAAGTAAGAGGATTTGCCAATGGAATAAGTATTTTTACTCTTAAAATAAGATAATTAGATAAAATGCAATTAAAATAAGACATTGCAATTGTTTTTTTTTTATTTAAATCAAAATTGTCTTGTTCCATTGGCAAAGTGTCTCACTTACCTCCTCAATCCAAGAAAAAATGCACTTATAAAGATTTACATTTTTTGCAGTGTTTATCGAAATTAAACATTACGATTATGTAAATAAACCTAAAGTGTCTTTTGTGTTTTCTTAAAGGGAGGGGAAAAAACCCTCTAAAACTATACAGATATTACTCCATTATTTCAAGGCTTTGGAAAGTTTGGAGATTGTCAGATTTGTGAATTCCTCTTAAAGTCAAACAGATTTAAACAGGCTTAAACCGGCCAAAGCAGCTGTGGTTGCAAAAGAGCTAATATATCTCACTATCAAGTTAGATAAGGCTAAATCAATCCTAAAAGCAACAAAGATAATGTACTTTGGAAAGCACATGTATTATCATTTCTGATACGTTTCATCCTAGAAAGTGTTTGTGATTTAATCACCACTTGTTCATATAAGAACGGGTCTAGCTGACATTCGAAGCCGTCTATTGGTGCAGATGACGAAAGCAATAGAATAAACAAACACCATCATTAACGATCCAAACGAGTGTGATGGGATGTCTATTGTCGTCTACATGAAGAGCGAGAGATCCGGATGGAGACAGGAAGAGAGAGTCATTCTGCCCAGCGGTCTGCAAGGATCCCTCACACACTCATGCTGTTGGACACAAATGTTCTCTCTTCCTCTGGAGTTTATTGTGTTTGACCTGCTGTGGGATCCCTCGCATCCTGTTGTCCAGTTTTATGAGAAATAACAACCTTTTCCTCTCAGTCCTGAGGCAAACTGTTTTCAGGTTTTGTAATCAACGTAAGCAATAGATATTTTATTCTTTGACCTCATCTAACCAACATAAGTTAAGAGTTTGTCTATAAAAAAATGTAGATAATTTCTGTCATCCTGCTGATAAGTACAAACCCCCCAGGAAAAAGGGAAATCTGATTCTATTTCTTCGTTTTTTAAATAATTTAATCTCATCAATTCATCTATGAGGGTATAAAACCGAAATTTAGCTAAAAAACTAATTCCAATACATTTGTTAGTAGCACTGACTGTTGCACAAAACAATAAAGTACAACTAAACATGAACATCTACACAGTTCTGCACGTGATCCTTCTTTACTTATCAGGTCTAGTTAGTTAGTCATTTATCTATTTGCTTTATCTCCTCCCAGTCCTGCTATATGAAAAAAATTAATAATCAAATTTCAATAATAAAAAAGATCAAACGGGTGGATAAAATTGACTTGGGAAAAATGGAGAAATTAATTTAAACTCACCGAGAAATCATTTGTCAAATATGTAACCTGTCTAACTCGCTCTGGAAATATTACTATGCTGTGACATCATGCCAAACCATTTTTGTCTGACGTGTTTTGTTTGTTTAGCCATTTCTCTTATTTTGTAAACCAATATCCCAGTTGGTTACGTCTTTTGTTTGTCAGTACTGTCTGTTTTGTAAGGATTATAAAATAACATAAAATGATCAGGAAAAAAAAAGTAAAATACTTTAAAACTTCCTCTGATTCATAAAGTTCCCACCAAAGTATCGTTGCTTGTTTTTTATAGAAATTCCCTGGTGGCAAACAGCAGGAAGAAGGTCAAAATAACATGAATGTGTCCTCCAACAAAATAAAAACAAACTGCCTGTAAACAGCTTCAGTTACTAAACATTTATAATACCAAAGAGTAAACTAGTGATGTCCCAGTCAAGATTTATTTAACTCTTCAAATTAAATCACTGATATACAGATCTAGATAGATTTCCAACCAAATGATGTATTGATTTTGCTTAAAAAGTAGCTTGAACGTGCAGTAAAAAACAAAACGGTTATTAATTCTCTTACTTTTTTTCCAGGACAATGTTGCTTCTCATTTCTGGAGAAAAATTGGAGTTGAGAATTTTGACTACAGTCTTCAATAAACACGTGATGCTCTGGATAAAGTCCTCATTGCAAGCTGTTTCCAAAGTATGGTGCAAAAGTTTAGTTTTTTTCTGTTTTCATTAAATAAAATGATACAAGAAATTATGTAAACACGTCAGTGGAAAAAAATTCAGAATATTTCAGAATTAACTAGTAATCTGAGTGACGATTGGTTTATGCCGACTGAGAAGCTAATCAGCTTGCATTAAGACAGGATGGAGTCATTCTGAATGAGGCAAACTGACCTCAGTGTGAGTTTGCATCAACGTGACGCATTTCCGCGTTGAATGCTAGTAATGCTAGTCAGATTATTCTGACTCATGTTTACATGACACATCAGCCATTTCATTACAATCACTTATGTCAATATTTATGTCCTTATTTCACTACTTATGTCAGATTACTTTTTGTTTATAAATATTTGAATCTGATCATTAAATTTTGGCCATGTAAACATAAACTATTTGTGATATGATGGGTAAGACTTTTCTTTTCTTTTTTTTTTTTACAGTGTCCTGTCTGGCAATGTGGCAATAAGAATAATTGTCTTGATGCCAAAAAGAGCCCAACAGATTTTACTTTCACAAGTGTAGCGGTATGGCAATTGCCATATTGCTCCATTTGTTTCATGCATATAAATTGCTTTATTATAATTATGCAGGAAGTTTTACAGTTTATATGGACACTGCAATGTAAATGAAAAACAGAAGAAGAAAAAGGAAAAAAGAAAAAAAAAAGAGAAAAGACGAAAGAAGAGATAGAAAGGAGACAATGACAAAACATTTTCAGTCTGCTTCATCACTTGTAACGAGATGAAAAAAGAACAGCACAACTGAAAGACATGGTACGAGTAAGACTTTACAATGCAGCTCCAGTTTTTCATGAGGGGAAAAAGCTTAGCAGACTTATTACTATTAGAAAATAAACTGTATGATTGCTGTATGTTTCATAAAATGTATTGATTTGTGATTCATTTGCACTCTAGGTAGCTCACCTCCTTACAGACAGGTGTCTAAGCACAGTGCAGACTCAGAGCAGGGAGGAAGTGTTTCATTATGAACATAAAGGATAAAAAAGGTGCCGTCTAAAATAACGCCCAGGATATGTTAGCAATGTCACCTCCAAATAGATACATTTTTTAACTTTTTTGGGTAAAAGAAAGAAATCAAACTCAAATAGAAGTGGTTCTAAACAAGTCTTTTTTCCACTTTCCAAAGAGATCAAAGACTTTTTGATTTCTTTCTCTTTTAAAATTTGCCTCCGTTTCTATTGGCTCTACTGCATTTACACTTTGGGTTAAAGAAAAGAGAAGAGAAAGAAGAGAAAAACAGTCATTTATGCAAAAACGAAACATTGCCTTGGAGAAATCTAGCATAGCACTTTTGAAGCCATGTTTAGCAATAGGTAATTGTATTTTTTAGTTTAATTAGAGATGCAGAATATATCGAGATTGCTTATGGTGAAAAGGATTCTGAGAGTTTTATATGTGGAAAATAGGCCGGGCGTTAGCTAATGAAATGATACCGTTTTTTATAGATATTTAAACATTCTCTTTAAAAATTTCTCATTTTCAAAAAGATTAAAGAGATCTTGGTAAGATCTTTGGTAAGTGGGAGGAGATGTTAAGAGTGGGTAGACCACAGAAACAGAATATGAAAAACTATAAATCACTCCAACGCATAAAAAATAAAATGTTCCTAAAACATACTTTTAACTCTTGTTTTAGACTCATTTGTTTAACATATTTTTCTTTTTTTTACTTCAGTTTCGGAAAGTCTGATTTAGGGCCACAAAGAAAAAAAACTGTATTTCTCCAACATTACTTTTCTGGCAATACTTGAGATTCTAACTCCTAAAAATGAGTGTAATCCTGTAGCTATTTGGAAAACATTGTCTCTTAAACTGATCAATTATGCACAAAGATTTTCTTCTTCAGCCATTAAAGTTGAAACCCCCTGAAGATATTCCAATTACAAAGCTCCTTATTAAATTGTGACTGAAACAAAAGAAATAAGCAATACCAAAAACACACACCTATACAGTTTTTAGACGTTCCATTTACAAACAAAAGAAGATAATGACTTCTCATCCTGAATATCAAATCTCAGGTTGCATCACAAATCTGGATAAAAAAGGTTACGAGGTTACTTATATAAAGAAGCAGGAACTGAAGCTAAGTGAACATCACACAGAATCACTGATGCAGAGGAAGCAGCGGACAGTTAAAACAATCTGGACAGGAAACATGGCATCAAACAGGCCAAGCCACAACAGGCCAAGGTAAACAACACTTGTGAAAACTCATTTGCAGAATGGTGGACGTATAAGACAACTTGATGAAGCTCAGAGATGATTTAAGAACTCTTTAGCTGGTAAGGCAAGATCATGAGTGCAGGCATAGTTAAACCTCAGCCCCCCCAGTCAGCCTTCCGCATGCTGACAAGTTCAGACTTGGTCCAAAACGCCTGACCTTGCTCAGGTCAGCTACAGAATCTTTGGACTGGATTTATTAGACTTTCTGAAAGCTAAAGCCTTGCTCAGATTTAAAGAATCTAGAATTTCATCTACAATTTAAGAAAAACAGCAACAAGTGGTACAATTTTCTTTAAATATTATAAAGCTTCAAGCTTTGCACTCCTTAGATTTAAAAATCCAATACATAGTGAAAGAAAGGAGTCTCTCTTACCTTATTGGAGGCCATGTCGCTGACAGACCGGTAGGTCTGGATGGTCTCCAGCTGGTCAAGACACCAGTCCAGCTCCTCCATCGTTTCCATAGCCAGCTTCTGGTACGCCTCATCTGTCAAACACGCGGCACAGAGAGACATGCTGTCAGGAAGGATGGTGTTCACTATGCCCGAGTGTTGCCCAGCCGCTCCAGGGCAGCATTCACCCAGAGATCCCGGCACAAGGCTCTGCTCAGGCTGCTCCTGAAGGGGGTGAAACTTTAGCTGTGGCCCCCGGCTGCAGCGCTCCTTCATCACGAAGAGGTGCAGCTGTGGGGAGCTGGTGAAACTCGCAGCTGTCGAGAAAAGCTACGGCCCCGACCTTTCGCTATCAGGCAGCAAAATTTCTCTGTGTCTGTGTGTCACACATTCAGCGCCCCCCAAATCTGCCCCTCCTTTCCTAAACCTGAGATGCTCAGCTGATTTGCATAATGTCAGGGCCCCCCCACCACATCCACCCCAGGAAACCAGATACACCCCCAGCACCTTTTTCCATTGCCACACACAGACACACTTTACCACAACTCACAGGAAGCCAACACAAATACACTAACGTCTTTGCAAGGTGTGTTTTGGTAGCTTGTGTGCACCTTATTGTGCTTCTGCATTAAGAAAATGAATAAAGGTTGGAAACTTTTCCATAATATCTGCAAGAAAGCACCTTTTCATCATTTAAACCAAGTTACTCTGATTGTAAACCAACCAATCATCTCCAAACCACCACACTATCACCACCATGTTTAAAATCTCTGCACAGCCTTAAGTTTTTCTGAAATGCTGGATTTGTTTCCCATCAGATCTAATGGGACGCACGCCAAACAAAACATTTCACTTTGGTCTCATCAGCCCATAAAACATATCTAAAAGCTATGGGGATCATCAAGATGTTTTCACAAATGTAAAATTGGTCTTTTTTTCCCCTTATGTTGAAACATCAACACTGAATCCCAAAACCTTGAAACCTATGAAGATTTTTTATTTTTTTTTCATCTGTTCTGAAATTTCATTGCACATCTTTTTAGATATTTTAGCCTACTTTTGTGGTTAAAAAAGGTTTAGTTATAGTGATTTCTGAATTATTTTATTCTAAATAGCTTTAAAATAAGAATATTTTTGAGTGCATTTTGTTTTTATTTAGTTTATCCTGATTAAAGTCTGTAACACATATTCGAAAAATGCTGAATATTATTTTTTCCTCAGCAAAATAACGTGTCCTATTTAAATCTGTTGATCAGAGATGGAAGTATGATGGATGCCATTATTTACTTTGCACTGCAGACACTTTTGAACTACGTGAAGAGGTTTCAGCTGCACGGTGGTACAGTGGGTAGCACTCTTGTCCTTAACAAGCAGGTTCTGGGTTCGATTTCTAGGCTGCACATTAGAAAAAGCCGTTGAAAAAGCCTTAGTGACGCATTTATTTCAAGAGCTTTAAAACTGGAGCACAGGGGTCTGCAACTTGTGGCTCTTTGGAACCTCTACAATGGAACCTAATAGGGGCCTAAAATGATGTAAAAAAATAACTAACAGTTTAGAACAATGAATACCAGTTTAGAAACGTTATTGGGTTTACAAAAATAATATTTGATTGAATTTTCATAAGAGAACGACATTGAAATACAAAAAAACATTTTATAGATATACTTTTCTTGTCATTAGGTTGCAAATTCTGTTTTCATTTAATTTCATTTTCATTTATTGTTTATTTGAAAGGGGACAGTGTACATTAATCAACATTAAAACAATGTAAATATACCTGAGTTAGCTAAGGAGTGCTAATTTTCATCGGTAGTCCCCCAGCCAGATATTAAAAAAGGCAACCTCAAAAATAAACACAAGTATAAAATCACAAGATAAAATTACTATACCAATTACATAAAAAAACATTATGGTTAAGAAATAAAATTCAAGTAAAATGATTAAAAATTAATTGTAAAATTATTTAAATACACACAGAAAACCTTAATGCCCACAAATTTGGCTCTCTACAAGCCATTTTTTTTTGCATTCTTTTTGAATGAAGAGAATGACAAAGAGTCTCTCTTTTTTTAACAAATAATATCCTTTGGAGGAAAATATGTACTTCATCTATATGAAATGGTTTTTCCTAATTTTTAATCTAAAAATTCAAAGAAACAGTTGTTTGAAATGCAAACATTATCCTTTATTGTTTTTCTTTATAAGGTCATAATCCGTTAAAAAACAACTTTTAAATTTGCGGCTCTAAACAGCTTTTAATAGCCAGACTGAGGGCGGAATGGCTTGTTGGATTTTAAAAGTTGCAGAATCCTGCTGCAGGAACTTGAAGATGGAAATTGTAACTTAACTTTGTCAAAAAAAAACAAACAATGCTCATCTAATCAGTATGCAAAAAATATTTTGGATTCCAATAAAAACTTTTTTTTTTTTTTGCAATAAATTTAAACTGGAAACAAGAACTATACAGTAAATCAAAGTTGGGGAGACTCTGTTGGAAAGCAAAGACTGTTTGCATGACTTTGCTGGCTGCGCTGAACCAACGCACACACTTACATCTGACACCCAAACACTGTTTATGCTGCGGGTCTCCTAGCTGCAGAGTACAACACGGCAGCCGACCTAGACGGCAGCAACGTTAGCGCAGCCGCATAGAATGTGCCCCCTGTTCTGATCTCCCTGCCATCAAAGACACAGGCCTGTTTGCTCTCCCAAACATGAGAGGCACCTGGCACTCTGCCTGCCTCACTCCCTCCATCCCTCCCTCTGATCAGAGGTCTGAGAAAAGGAGAGGCAGTTTCTGTATGTGAGCACGTGTTTACTTTCACACCACCGCCGTCTGATGTCCGAATGGTTTACACCTATTTGAGATATTGCTTTCCAGTATTTGCAACATCTTTGAGGCGGTTTATTTTTTAAAGATCATAGAGTATTCTGAAGTAATGATCTCAGTTTATGAAAGGCAAGACTGCAGAAGAGTTTGAAGTTTTTTGCTGTTCTCACTGTCACTCAGAATTATAACTTACATACATGCACAGTAAGACATTTTAAAAGTGTGGCTTGTTTAAGTTAATCAATGTATAAACTGATAGAGGCCTCTCTGAGTGACTTTTATGTGGTGGCTTCTGTTTTTATATGACACTGTTTCATCTGAAAACTACTCAAAATACTAAATCTTTACATAAAGAATCCAAACTAGATTCCTTTTTCTATTTTTTGTATATGAAAGTCTTGTTTTGTATCAAAAGAAAAAGTTTTTTGAAAGTGAATGATTGAGAATTGGGAGCAAAGCTTATTTTGATGATCTCCCTGGAAAAAGAAAAAACATCTTCCACTATACCTTTAACCTCTTAATATCCACTTCATTTTGTGAAATTCTCGCCTATTTTGCATCCCCAAATGGAAAAGCAAATAACTTAGGAACTGGAAGCCCAAATTACATGTGTGATACATTATTTGAAAGCCGACACCGTCTACTTTCTGAATATATATACACGAAAATTGGGTGAGTAAAACACTCAAGTTACATCAAGCCCAAGCCGCATCAGTTTAAACATGACTCAAAGTTGTTGTTTTTTTACTCTCGAAAATAATAGGTATTTTTTTAACAGCAGTAATAAAGGCTTGCTTGCTTGTTGTGGCTGCTTTGTCATGGTACATTTTGACATGCTGCTATATCGATGCTAATTGTGCTTTGGTGCTCGCTATGTCCATAAAATTAACTGTGTGGTTGAATTGTGGAGAATCTATGCTTTCCAACGATGTCTAACGTGTCTATATTGGTAAACATTTTACCAGTGTAATTTTCATGCATTCTGAGTTATTATTTGTAAACGCTGAGTTTTGAGAGGTTAAGGTTAAAGCTAGGGTTAGGTACGAACTGGTTAGGTTGGTTAGGTTAAGGGTTACTTAGAGCATTGGGGCATAGCAAGGGTAAAAAATGACTGAAAATCATTGGTACTCACTACATGTAGTGAGATGGTAACGGAAGTTTGATGCAACAGAACGCAGAGCTGTGGTCCTTAACCAACTGTCTTTAGAGTTTTATAATCATGTTTATTATTTGTCCAGTTCGGATTATAGACAGTTAACACAAGTCTTTATAATCAGTCTCCTACTTTAAAATACGGCCATTAATACACACACACATATATACACATATACATATATACACATATACATATATACACATATACATATATACACAT